GCGGGGGGGCCGGCTCCTGCTCCCAGCCCCTGCACTCAGGGCAGCTAGCTTCTGCTCCCGCCTACCCCCTGCGTGAGGGGGGGCAGGTCTGGCTCCCATCCCCGGCAGGGCTGGAGCAGCCCTCTGCCCATGGCTTAGTCAGTATCAATGGGAGAAAGGAAGTATTGCTATCTCCTTTTTCGCAGATGGGGGCCTGAGGCATGGAGAGAATTTCTAAGTTGCCCGAGGTCACACAGGAAGCGTCAGAACTAGGAGCTGAACACAAACCTCCCAAGTTCCAACCCGATCCCTTAACTACACCGCAAGCTTTCCCCTCTTAAAATCCTTTGCTTTTGTCATTACATGTTTATACTGATGTAATTGCCTGAGACAATTGAAAAAAAGACAACCCCAAAATCCTGCAGAAAGGAAGTACTGATCATTTACCTGTGTATAGTGTCTTTCACCCAATGACTGCTTACTGAAAACTGTTACATCAACATATTTTGCAATCTCCCACCCTGAATTCATTACTGTAAATTAAAATTTTGTACGAATCCATCAGAAGTCCCTACACAAATCAAGTCTGTGATTTCCACTAAATATGGAAAAAATACATGTGAACAATATACATATACACACTACATTAGCTGCTTCAGAGGATAGCCAAGTTAGTTTGATAGGGTACATCTACACTAGCCCCCCTAGATTGATCTAGGGAGGCTAACAAGGGCGACCGAAATTGCAAATCAAGCCCGGGATTTAAATATCCCGTGCTTGATTTGCATGTTCCCAGCCAGTCGCCATTTTAGAAATTGACTAGCCTGAAGTAACTGCCCGTGTCTACACGCGGCAGTGAAATGGGATTCCGATTTAAAGCCCCTAAATCAAATTAGCTGGTAAACCTCATTGCAGGAGGAAAAACCAGCAAGAAAATGGTCTGGTAGCACTTTATAGACTAACAAAACATGTAGATGGTTCGTTTTTTTCATAACTCCAGTCATCTGAAGAAATGGGCTGTGCCCATGAAAGCTCATGATACCATCTACATGTTTCGTTAGTCTATAAAGTGCTACCAGACCACTTGCACACTACATTGGTTCTGCCTAGAGCAGGGGGCTGGACTGGATGACCTCCTGAGGTCTCTTTCAGCTCTATGATTCTATGATTCTTTGATTCTACATTAGCTGCAATTGTTGGGAGTTTTACAGCATACAAGAACCACTTGATTTCACTAGCTCACCAACTACTGCTGGAACACAGCGACTGTTTAACACTGCACATCAGTTTAGAAGAGGAAGCGAAAAAGGCTCCATCTGATTATTATTTAAATAGGGACATAAGGATTTGAAATTGAAGCTGCAGGAAGAATTATCCAAATTGAAATGTGGCCACAATTCTGAAGCTAACACTTTTTGTCTTGTGAATGGAATCTTTTAGGGCCACTATTTAAGGGTCAGTGCTTGATATTATGATTCACATTGTCACAATCACCAGTGAAGCAGGTCTGAAGAAGTGAATCTGCCCACGAAAGTTCGTCACCTAATAAACTATCTTGTTAGTCTTTAAAGTGCTACACGACTGCTTTTTTTGTTTTAGGGAGTTAGCGGAAGTTGACAAGACAGTTTCTCCTGTCGTCCTCCCACAGTGGGAATACCGCGGAAGTTTGAACTAAGGTATGTTGACTCTAGCTAGGCTATTCACGTAGCTGGAGCTGCACATCTTAGGTTTGCATCCTCCCGTGGTGCAGACCTGGCCTAAAAAGAGCTCTCATTCTCCACTGTAAATACCTGTGAACTGTGAACAGGGTGTTTCTCTAGTTCTGCGCCTTCCAAACCCCTAATGTAATACCCCTGACAGATCTCTGCCAATGCTCAAAGCTGAATTATATCTTTCCCGTTTCTCCTCCCTGCTCCCCTTTCCTGTTTATCCCAGACTTATTTCTCCACCCACACTGCCTTGTTCTCCCATGCTGCTCCAGCCTGTGGTAGAAGAATGAGGGGTGGTACCTGCTCTGCATTTCTTTGGGACTGTAAGTGAGAGTGTAGACGCCGGATCAAAGGGACACCATTTCTCGACTGGCGCTTTAACAGCCAGTAGTTGTGTAGCCGCTGCATAAACTGGTTCTTCCTCTGGAGAGACAGTCCACTGCAGATTTTATTCAACCTAGAGGAAACAAACCGAGTCAGCAAGCAGAGGACTCACACATACAAGCAATCATCAAATGCTATGGATGGTGCATGTTAAGATCTCCTGATCCGGTCCCAGTGCTGCACCATTTCGCAATGTTGTGTCAATACGTATAAAAACTGTACACGTAATTCATGCCAGCCTGTGCCAAGCTGGGGTCTCTAAGCCATGAAGAAAGCCATCTCTGCCTTCAGGAATGCAATATTATTTCCACAGCAGCTCTGCGGGAGGCTCTGACCTAACAATAGCCATAGCACGGTGAGACATATCCAGTCACTGGTTCAGCTCCAAGGGAGCAGTTAGCATTATGAAGCGAGGCACACTAGGGAGCAAACTCAAATGAAGTCCCAGGACAGTATTTTAAATGTCTGTAACAATTAGCAGACATTCCTGTGTTTGTACAGTGACCAGCATTTTGGGGAATTGGCCTCCCGACTAGGGCTCCAAGGTGCTGCGGTAATACAAATACACCTGAACCTCCATAATCTAGGTGTCCCTTATGCGGGAACTCTAGCAGGACGCTATGAACCTTGCTGCTTCCCCTCTCCCCTCCAGCTGGGGGAACAGCTGCACAGCAAAGTGCTTCTCCTGATAGCAGAGGGCGGTGCCTGGGAGCGGCAGGGAGGCACCCCTGGGAGCAAGGTGCCAGCTAAGCACCCCACCCCCTTCCCTCTCATGCACCCACCCTACCTCCTGGATTCTGCCCCAGCATCCTCCCATAGTCCAAAAATTTCCTTAATCCGGCATATCCTGTTTCCCAGGGTTGCTGGATTAGAGAGGTTCAAATATAATAAACAATACATAGTATCTTGGCAATTTCTGAGAGAACATCTTATTAAAATTTCAGGGGCATCTGGCTGCACTTTCCAAGATGTTAAAAGAAAATAGTGCACCACTGCCTCCTCTGTGAGGCTGTCCTGGCAGAAATATACTAGGTACATTCACAGCTGCTATGACAACAATGTGCATGCTTAGGAGCCATAAAGTGAGGAGTCAAACTACGGTGGCTTTAGATCAGCAATGGGCAACCTAGGCTGTGAGTGGGCTGCATGAGTGGCCTCCATCTCAGGGGGCCAACAGACTGTCATAACCGAGACGCTCTCCTGGCATAGGGCAGTTTTGTTCACTGCGCTGGCATCCCTAGAATTGCAGGGGGTGTAAACTGAACCATAGCAGCGCTGTGATTGGATGCAGAGGAAATGCCTGGATCTCACAGTCAGTGGTATGCAACCAGCACACACCTTATTTCACGTGCCCTGGCTTTGTGTGCACGTCAGTTTAGTAATCCCAGTTAAGGATGTTAAGAAGTGGGTAACTGGCTAATGGTGGAGTCGATACAATTTGTATCGACTGCATGATTAGTCAATAGGGAGGTACAATTTGTATCGACTGCACGATTAGTCAATAAAGGGAGGTACAATTTGTATCGACTGCACGATTAGTCAATAAAGGGAGGTACAATTTGTATCGACTGCACGATTAGTCAATAAAGGGAGGTACAATTTGTATCGACTGCACGATTAGTCAATAAAGGGAGGTACAATTTGTATCGACTGCACGATTAGTCAATAAAGGGAGGTACAATTTGTATCGACTGCACGATTAGTCAATAAAGGGAGGTACAATTTGTATCGACTGCACGATTAGTCAATAAAGGGAGGTACAATTTGTATCGACTGCACGATTAGTCAATAAAGGGAGGTACAATTTGTATCGACTGCACGATTAGTCAATAAAGGGAGGTACAATTTGTATCGACTGCACGATTAGTCAATAAAGGGAGGTACAATTTGTATCGACTGCACGATTAGTCAATAAAGGGAGGTACAATTTGTATCGACTGCACGATTAGTCAATAAAGGGAGGTACAATTTCTATTGACTGCACGATTAGTCAATAAAGGGAGGTACAATTTGTATCGACTGCACGATTAGTCAATAAAGAGAGGTGCTCTGTCTCGGCTCATGCTGGGTCCAGGACCTACCCCAGCTGCAGCTCAGCAGTTTAAATGCAGTAGGAGCAGCCTAGCTCCCACTACATTTAAACTGCAGACCTGCAGCAGAGGTAGTCCCGGAGTTGGCACGAGCTGGGCAACAGAGGCATGTAGATTAGGCTACCCAGCATAGGAAAATGAAGCGGCGATTTAAATAATCGCCGCTTCATTTAAATTAAAATGGCTGCCGCGCTGAGCCGATCAGCTGTTTGTCGGCTCAGCGTGTTAGTCTGGACGCTCCGTGGTCGACAGCAAAGGCATTTGTCGACTGCCCCGTTATGCCTCGTGGGATGAGGTTTACCGGGGCGGTTGACAAATGCCTTCGATGTCGACCGCGGAGCGTCCGGCAGCCATTTTAATTTAAATGAAGCGGCGATTATTTAAATCGCCGCTTCATTTTCCTATGCCGGGTAGCCTAATCTACATGCCTCTGTCGCCAGAGGCATGTAGTCTAGACATACCCTTACATCCCTAAAACCAGTAGGAAAAAACTACGTGGATGGGAACCAGCGGAATCTAGCGACCCTGTGCATGAGTAATGGTAAACAAAATGTCTTGTGGGCCACACACAGAACCCCAATGGACCACATGTGGTAGGTTGCCCACCACTGCTTTAGATCGATAGGAAGCTGCTTTTCACCTAGACCCTGTTCACCCAATGACTTGCAATCACGTCTGAAAGTATTTTCAAGCCTGGTCACATCCCAGCATGGTTTATGGGTACACCCTGCGTGTTATAACTAGAGCTAGGTGACATTTTCCAGTGTAAACTTTTCCTCGCAAATAAACACAGATTCGGGTCAATCAAAATAGTTCACGAATTTGTGTCAGTTTGGGAAAAAATATTTTGGTCAAGAAAAAAACGAAAAAATAATTTGGAAAGATCAAAATGATTTGTGTTGGCATTATGGAAACACGCCCTTTCAATGTTTGATACTAGAGTCCTGACTCAGTTGCCACTGGCTTTCAGAAGGCTTGAGGAACAGGTGCTGATTCCCCTTTTACCTGTAACCCAGGGTTTACGGCACTCACCCAAGATGACCCTGGTTCATATCCCTTCCCTGCCTCATGTGGGAAGGGACTAGAACGTGGGTGTCCCCCTTCCCAGGTGAGTGCACTCATCACTGGACTCTGGGGTGTTTGAGGGTGAGTCTCTATCAGTCTCTCCTGTTGAAACGGTTCTACTTTGTACAAATAAATATTCAATGAAGCAGGGACTGGAATGCAGGTATCCCCTCCCCACCACCAGGAGACAGCCCAAATCACTCTTGACTCTCTGGCCCAGTGAGAATGAGAAAGCTCCACCCTTAAATAACCAATAGCGCGTAAGTAGGAGGGGAAGACCTGGATCCAAAGCCACGCTTCACATCAGGAAGAAGGATTTGAACCTGTGTTTCCCACATGCTAGCTGAGTGCTCTCATCTGCAGATATACAGGGGGTAGCGGCACCTTCTCCTCAGTTGTTTGAATGCCAGTAGTCCCTAAGTCCCCTTGAGAACCTTGTCTCCTTTGCTTTTATTTTTAAAAATGGTTAAAAAGGACCAAAATCAAAGAAAACATTTTGCTTAACCCATCATGTTTTTTTAAAATTGCCAGCGAACTGAAGTCCAGCCTGTTCACACAGCTCCGGTGTTTGTTAAACATCGCCGGTGTCTGTTTAAAGATTAAAGGGAGGACAGTCCCAGGCCTTAATACAACACTCCCGGCCAGCACCAAGTCTCCACCAGAGAGCATCCATGCCAACACTCACCTGTAAGAAGGGATCTGTGTGACTGTCACCAATGGCATGGATGAACGCCCATCTGCCAGGTCGCACACTTCCTTTTTGATCTTCTGCTTCAACTTCACTTTGCTCTTCTTCAAGGATCCCTTGGGGATGCCAATGCTGTCGTCCTCCTCCCTTTCCTCCTTTGGGATGTCCTCCTCCCCTTCGCTGCTAGCAGCCATTGGCCCTTTTTTCATTGTCCCAGGTGGGGAATGTGCCCCACAATAAGCTGTCTTGCGCACCGTGAAAGTTGTGCCGTTGATGCTGGTCTCCCTCATGGGCTCTATCTTCATGAAGAGACCGGCCCGCTGGGCACAGGTGACGTGGAAGGCAGTGTAGCAGTTCACCTTATGGCACTGGATCGCAGCTCCCATGCCCTTCTGCTTGCAGATGTAGCAAGTCAGCTTCCAGCGTGCCGGCGGGATGTTGTTTATCCCTTCAATGGGCTCCAGGAACACAGTGTTTGCAAAGCAGACCTCGGGGATCCAGATGGCACAAACAACATGGGCCCAGCGGCCATCGCTGGTCTGCTTGAAGGCTCCACCTTTGTTTGGGCACAGAACACAATCAACCGGGCGCGAAGGGGACTGCAGGCAGCAGCGGCAAAGCCACTGGCCCTCGGGGATGTAGGGAACGCCGTAGCACTCCTGGTGCACAGCCAAGTTGCAGATGTCACAGAACAGGATAACGTTGCTGTTGTGACACTCGTCATCCATGCAGACGCAGCAGACAGCGTCCTCGTCAATCAGGGACTGCTGGGCCCCATTGTTGCGGCTCTCCAAGTATGACTCCTTCTCCAGCCTATCCACCAGCAGCTCAAAAGCATCGGCAGAAACTGTCCCATAGCCATCGTCCTTCCGCTTCTCGTTGACCATGTCCAGCCATGCCAGATCCTCCTCATCCATGTCATACTCCACCTCTGCATCGAGATCCTCAGAAGGCTTCTCAATGTACCGGTAGTACGCTGCAGGCAGAGGTGGGGCCTCTGGCTGGCTGACGGAATCCATCACCCGGAAGCTGGGCTGGGGTAAGTGGAAAGATGTCCCTGGTGCGTGTTTGGAGCATGACTCTTTCTTTTTGCCTTTACAGGGAGTTTTCTTGGATTTAGAGGGAAACAGGGGCTGTTCGCTGTTTTCCTTGTTGCTGTTGCACTCAGTGATATCCTGGGCCATCAGCTCATCCTCCGTGATGATCTTCAGGGGATCGTAGATGCTGATGCGATGAAGCCGTCCATCAATATCAACCTCCACTATCCGCTGGGCCTGGGCATATGTCAGAGTCTCCCGAGTGGGTGAGCATTTCAGACTATATGGCGAGGGAGAACGTCTCCCTTCAGGATTCTGCCGGGACCTCCTCCGAGGCTTCCTCATAGCTGCACCTGGAAACCCTGTAACACAAGAGAATACAATTTAAGCCAGCAGCACAGGAAACTATGAACAAGCGCAGATTCAAAACCATACTCTGCACGAGGAGTGAAACACATCCACTAGGGCAGGGGTTCCCAAACTTTTTGACACGGGGACCAGTAAATCCATTCATGAGCTTTTGGAGGACCAGTAACATTCATGCGCATATTTGCATATTCATTAAGCAAATGATGAATATGCAAATAAGTTGTTTCTGGTCCTCCCAAAGCCCCCAGTGCCAGCTTTAGCAAAGCTTTTGATACGGTCACCCACAATATTCTTGCCACCAAGTTAAGGGAATATGGATTGGATACGGATGGACTGGAAGATGGATACAAAGCTGGCTAGCTCAGGGTTTCCTAAACTTTTTACTTTAATTGGAACCTGGTTTTTTTTTCAGTACTGCTTTTTGCCGCCCAAAACTATAAGCGCGTATAAAAAAAAGAATGAAAAAATGAATAAATTTGCACTGTTTCACTTGGCTGCATCCTCCACCCGGCCAGGGCTGTGCACTGTTTCACTTGGCTGCATCCTCCACTTGGCCAGGGCTGGGGGTACCTGGCGCTGCATGGGCACTCCAGGAGTCTGGAACACCCTGGCAGCCACGCTGAGGCCTGGCATTTTTTTCCTGCGGACCAGTACCAGCCACGGCCCATAATTTGGGAAACATTGCACTAAGGGCTCAGCTAACTGCAGATTCACTAAAGCACCAAAAGCATTTCCTCCTGGATGGATCCAAGGGGGTGCACATTCACCAGGAGATAGGGCTGCCATTTCTCCAGTTATGCTGTAGCACTGCATACCAAAGCCCCTCCAGGCCTCTGGGCTTTGTTATCTTTTCAGAGGATTGACATACCAATGTACAGCCAGCTGAGAAAGGCTGGAATGAGTTTGACAGCATTTTGTATTGAGCTAACTCTATTGCACTGAGTGCTTTGCTCAGCTCCCAGGTGGAATTCTCACTAAAACGAATAACATATTGGATGGCATTGTCCATATGTTAATAAATTGATGCTGTACATTGATTTTCCTATGTTCTTGTGCCTGTTATTATCTTTATTTCCAGTAGCACACACAGTGTGCTAGAGATTTTCCAAACTTAGAAACAGGCACTATACCTGCCCAGGAAACTGGAACTGTTTTTACTCAACAGATGCTGCAGTCAGTGTTCCCTATAAGCTGTGCACTTGTGCGGCCACTGGGAAGAGATTCAAATGCAGCCCAACTCATTAGCAGAGCGTCCACAGCTAGTTTTTTTTGTTTGTTTCTACTGGTGGTGCACAATCACATATGCTTTGGTGCACATAACCAATTATTTCCCACATTAATGGAAAACCCCCACATATGATCAGAGGGAACACTGGCTGTAATACTTCCAAAGCTGGACCCCCAAAAAAGCTGAGAATTGTATAGAAGAGGGTTATATACCTAGATCTGCAAGTAATACCCCACTGCAGAGAAAGTAGAAAAGGGAGTACTATTTACTCCTTTTCACAACAGAAGAACTAGAAGTCACCAGATGAAATGAATAGGCAGTGGGTTTAAAACAAACAAAAGGAAGTATTTTTTCATACAACGCACAATCAACCTGTGGAATTCTGCCAGAGGATGTTTTGAAGGCCAAGATTATAACAGGGTTCAAAAAAGAGCTAGATAAGTACATGGAGGATAGGTCGGTCCATCAATGGCCATTAGCCAGGATGGGTAGGAATGGCGTCTCTAGCCTCTGTTGGTTACAAGCTGGGAATCGGTGACAGGGGGTAGATCACATAATGATTCCCTGTTCTGTTCAATGCCTCTGGGGCACCTGTCACTGGCGACTGTCAAAAGACAAGACACTGGGCTAGAGTATGGTCGTCCTTATGCAAACATACTACATTATGTGAGTTCTAGCCATGAAACTACATAGGAGAACCTGTCTTTTTTAAGTGGAGTCAGTTCCTTGGCTAAGGCTGCAACCACTTTTTCAGTCAGGGCCTTATTTTCAATCCTTCTGTAAAGCAGTTCGCAAAAATACTCATTTTGCAAATTATGACACAGGCTCAGAGTGCTGCATTAGGCATTGCTGCCAGACAATGGTTATGCAATGTGATATGGAAAGGTTTGGAAAAGATTCATCTGGCCAAGAACTGTGGGAAGTTGTCTCCTGGCTCTGGAACATTTCCAGAGTATCTATCGAAAGGGACTGACACTGAAATAGATCAGTAATATGCTCTTCAGTAAGCACAATTCTTGAAGGAATTTGGGAATCCAGGTTTATCCTCCCTTTTTAATACACTCGAACCTCTTTAATTCAGCAATTTTTGGGAAAAGGGCTATGCCAGATTATGGGATTTTCTGGACCATGGGTGTTTGCCACAATGAAGGGTAAACAAAGTTTACCCCTTTCCGGAAAAGGGATGCTACATTGGCACCTCTTTCCGGAAAAGGGATTTCAAGTAGGAATAAGGGATCTTCCGGAAAAGGGATTATTTTCCGAAAAATCGCATCTAGACCAGCACTTTTCTCCGGCATAACCCCAAGCCGGAAAAAAGCAGCAGCCATGTAAATGCAAATGCCGCGGGGATATTTAAATCCCCCGCGGATTTGCAATTCCGAAGTGTCTCATTAGCATCCCTTTTCCGGAAAGGGGTGCCAATGTAAACACAGCCCATATGTATAACATGTCATAAATAGGGATGTGAACATGTAACCATGCACACGGTTAACTGATGAGCCTGGGCTCATCAGTTAACCTTCACAGTTACATGCAGGCTCTCAGTAAATGTGGGAAGCAGGCTTAAAAGCCAGTTCCCAGAGTGCACTGTCTGCCCTCCCTTTCCCACACACTGCTGCCTCTGATACAGAGGCAACAGTATGGGAGCAGTGGAGGAGGCAGGTGGGAGCCAATAAGTGTGGGAAGTCAGCTTTTAAGCCAGCTCCCCGCGCACACCGGCTCCCAGGGAACCCCCTGCGCCCACGTGTAACCATGTAATTTTCAGTGATTACACGGTTACTAAATTAAATGCATTTTAACATCCCTAGTCATAAGATAAATCTTATGAACTAGCCAATTAGCCCGTCATAAGATGTGATTTTCAGGTCTCTCCTCCACGTCGGCCTTTTCTCCTGAGCCTCCAGTCTCTCGCTCCGTTTCTCTCTCTCTCTCCTCCTACTGCTGCCTCCCTCTCTCTCTCTCAGCTCTCCTCCGCCTCCCGCCTCTCTCTCTGTCTCTCTCTTTCTCTTCTCCTCCCTCTCCTGCCTCTCACTCAGGGGACCGTGGAGCCCAAATGAGCTTTTGGGCTCTGCACTCCCTGTGCTGCATGGGGAGTGCAGAGCCCAAACGGCTGCTTGCGCCATTTGCTCCTGCGCGGTGGCCTGGCAGAGCGACACAGAAGTCAGCTGGGCGCCACGACAGGAGGCGAAGAGGGGGCGGGGTGGTGACGTTCACAGCCAGGGAGCAGGGTCTGGAGCCGCTGTCATGCCGCACATCACCGCCCTACCCCCCTTCCCCTCCCGCCATGGCGCTCGGCTGACTTCTGCGCCGCTCAGCCGGGCCGCCGCGAGGGAACAAGCGGCCATTTGGGCCCCACACTGCCCATGCAGCACGGGTGCCCAGAGGGAACAGGCTCTCAGACATCGGGCTACTATATCTTATGAATAATCAGCAAATTCATCATAATAATCTTACGAATAATAAAAAAAATCATCAGATAAATGAATGTATAATCAGTATCCAATGAATGCGCTGGGGAGAATGAGAGAGTGAGCAATGTTGAGACTACTTGTTCACTAAGGCCAGGAAAGGACTTAACTATTAGTAGTTATCTTTTAAGTTTTGTGTAGGTATGCTGCATGACTAGCAGTCAAGGACAAGTTGCTATTCCAGCACCTACCTACCATCCTAGCTACATACCATACGTAGATTAGAGCTATAGATTACCTTTATAATCCTGCATGCTCTGACGACCAACACAACTGAGCTGAGACTGCAATGTAAACTGGTCTCCAGCCTCACTCTCTGTAATGACAGGTGTTCCCTGTGGAGCACTCCAGAGAGCGAGCATGTATGTAACTAGTCCTGTGTCTACCTCTGAACATGCCCAATGGGATAAAACTGGCCAAGCAAAGTCAGAGGAAGAATGCAGCCAGATGTAAGGACAAGGCATTCCTTCCTTCTGCTATTCGGTGGGATTCTCAAGGAACAGTGGGTGACGGTGAGGTTTCATTTCAAGGCTCAGGCACCAGCTGGTCAACATGGAACAGGGGAAGAGATAGTGACACATGAAAAGATTCTTTTCCTCCCAAACACTTGTCAAACAGCAACACAATACGTTGAGGGTGATGACTTTTTAACAGGGAGAAACAGAATGGTCTGCCGGAGCCAGAAGATTCATTCAGTGGGAACTGAGGCAGCTGGAGAGAGGAAAGAAAATACCAGGAACAGAACTGCTATGTAGGAGAGAGGTGGGAAAGGCAAGTTGGGAATGTTACTAGGAACTTGAGAAATGCAATGCCAGCGACATGAAAATGAGCTGTGGGAAGAAAAGGCTAAAGAAACAGACCCAGAAAGAAGGGGAGAGGAGAGAAAGACAAACAAACGTGAAAGACTCCTGAAAAGATAAGTGGGCTCCTGGCTTATCTCTTGCTGCACTGGGGGTGTGCGAAGGGCGTGACCTACAACCTCACCCATATTTCATTGAACTATATAAATTCAGCCCTGCTTACAGAATTTGCAGCCATGAAAAACCGTTATATAATGCAATATGTGTTTAGCCCATTGCATGATTTTGGTCTATAAAGAGCCTGATCCTGCAAACACACATTCACAATAGGCAAGAATGAGTAAGGGATCAGGCCCTTGCACAGTAATCAGTTAGGCTATGTCTACATTGCTCCGTTATTTCAGAATAAATGATGTTATTCCAAAATAACACAGTACACATCTATGCACACGCAGTTATTTGGACTGCTTACTCCAACTCCTGTAACCCTCATTGTACGAGAAGTAAGGGAAGTCTCTCTCAAAATAACTGCTGTGTAGACAGCGCCAAAAGTCGAAATAAGCTATTTCGACTTAAGCTACACAATTAGCGTAGCTCAAGTTGAGTAGCTTATTTTGAGTTTAGCCCTGCTGTGTAGGGCTTAGTTCTGTTGGTGAAAGATAAAGAAGTTCTAGGAGAGATGCTTCTAGCTCTGGAGTATCAATATTGCCGCAGCATGGGGAGTCAAGGTTACAGGAAAGGCTAATGGAGTATTAATCAGTATTAATCATTCATCAGCCAACTGATCAGCTGGTAGCAAAGATGCCAATTTCATTTGTCCTGACAACTTCCAGATGTCTCTAGTTGCTGGACAAGAGAATTTAAAAAAAAATAAAAAAGGATAAGGTATTTTTGTCTACAAATTAAAATACAAGAAAACCATAACTAAAAGCCATCCTCTTAAAATTCAAACAGGTAAAAGCAAACAAGGTGTTCCCTATAAGAAGCTGACAGAAGGGAAAGCTGGCAAGTACGAGCCAACAGCAGTCATTGTTAGTATCACTTCTGGGAAAAACAAGTTGTTACATACATTTTAACAGAACAGAGAAATAGCCTGGGGCAGATTTCACCCTCGATGGACCAGCTATAGAAAGAGCCCAGTCACTAACAGAATGGTAGGATGCGCTGGTTGCCTTATTGAGGCAGTTTGCATATTGCAGGGAGAAACTATGCAAAAGATCTTACTTTGGGAATGGAGCTAAGAAATGCACTCGGCCACTAAGAGTTGTCCCCACAGCAGAGAAAGTTCTCCTTAGTCAACTTCCTTTCCAACTTGTCTCCTGTAAACGAATGGGAACAGAGTCTCTACTGCACATTCCTTTTTAAGTGTTATCGCCTTCCTTTCCCACTGCAAATTAGCCAGGCCTAGAACAAGTTAACTGGAAAACATACAAGGGAGGGTTGAAACACAGAAGAGGAGGATTTCAGCAACACAAGTGAAATAGAAACCTAAAGAATTTAAACAGGCCCCAAGTTTGGAAAAACAGAATCAAATTCTATAACGCATGCAGCTAACTGAACATGCAGCTTCCATGTCCTGAAGACTCTGTTGTAAACATGTGCATCCAACTTAACCAGTCACAACATTTACCTTCTACTTAGACCTATTAAAACGGGGGAGTTCTCTCAGCATAACTGGCTGTCACAAAACAAGGTTACAAAAACATACAATCACTTAATACTATTCAGAAACATCTAAAAAGTTACTGAAACATCTAAAAAGTTAATGAAAGCAGAGTTGCTGGGCCAGAGAGGGCAGCTGAACCCCAAAAGGGCCAGGATGCCAGTATAACCAACTGTTGCGTCCCGTCTCTGAATCATGGCTCCAAAACAATAAAACAATCTGAAACAAAGCTAGCCAAACACAGCAGCTTCGCCGACTGCAGCTTCACCTACATTAAAGGAAATTGCTATTCTAATTCTTCAGACCTCCTAGCACCTTGTAAAATCCGTCATGGTCACAAACAAGTGCTCCAAAGGGTGTCCATGTGTACCAAAACAGTTGTTTTCAGTACGGCTAAATATGATAACATACTGTGCTGTTTTAGTTCCAGCATGAACCACGGTTGCCAGTGTAATAGTACAAAGGTCCAAACACTGCTATTTTTACTGAACCATGATGCACAGGTAATGTTTCACAAATCACCCATATCGCTCTACTTCTGGGAACTGAGGGCTAGGTACCTAGAGAGCACCACAACGGAACCAAATAGCATGGCCATTATTAAGCACACATGGAACCATTTGTTTTTAACTCATTACTACCCACTAGTACATTCAGGAGCAGTTTTATTCTCAAGTATAAACGTGGCCTGCAGCCTCAGCCAGAGACCCAAGTGCCATCCTGATTCACATCTATTAAATGCTGGATTTACCATTCCAGAATTTCAAAGCTATTTTTCAGGGCTGCCAGGCCTTACTTCACCCACCCTCCATGCTCCTTCTGCACCCCGCTTATTCTATTCTACTCCTTTCCTACGACACCTAGTCCTTCCTTGCCGCCATAAAATATTTCTCTTTCAATGCTGTTGCCACATTACTTCCTAATTCCCATCTCAGTGACATCATGTCACATTCTACTGGTCCTTCTGAAGCCATTCCACCATGCTCACAATGAAGTCCGCCATCCCCAGCATTGGCAACTCAGAATATCTTTGCTAATCCATTTCCAGTGCCACCAAGCTTCAATCCTTGCTTAGCTGGCTGCAGGTCTCACTTTGCCTCCACTCCATTTCCAGAGTAACCAATCCACAGCCCTTCCACTTTGCCTTTACAATATCCCCCAGATTCCTTTTCTAGCAACGTACTTGCCATCCGCCTACATGTCAGCCACTTTCTCCTCTTCGTCCACCTGCAGCCTGATGCTGCCCCTCCCTCGCCCCGCAGAGCTACTCATGAAGGTCTGATCCACCACCTCTATCCAGCAGGACTGAAAGGAACACAGACCTGTATGAATTGTGTAATGGAGGGGGAGGTCAAATGCATGAAACAGCATTGTGTGTTATGCCTATATGATTGGATTGGCCGATGTGGAGAGAATTAAGTTGGTTTAAGAATGGATGTCATGGAGTGAGAGGCCTTCAATGAGTGGGGGTGGAGTACCAGGGTGCTCCACAGTGCGTACGGGTGCCATCTGAGTGGGTGCATCACGGAAAACAGAACGGTGTCCTGGGAGGAGTTATGTTTTATGACAAATTTGGGTCCTGCCTTTGAGAGGTTCTAATCTGGACATCTGTTCCCTCTGATAAATGTCTCAGGCTGGCCGATAAGGTTGCACAATGCTGTCATCAGCTGAGGATAGGGGGGACTCCAGGCCAGCACAGACTCTGAGAGCTTAGACCCCTCAATTCTTGTGTTGGTGAGCAGGGGAAGAGCAGGCAAAAAGGAAACACCAAGCGCTGACTGTAAATCAAAGCCAAGATGTCACACTCTGGTTCCTTTGGTTACACCAAATAATCATGCTCAGGAGAAAAAGGCATTGGTGAACAAAAGCAACAGCAGCCTCCGTGCTATTCAATACAGGGTCAGTGGCTAAAGAAATTAGTATCATCCAGGATTCAATAACAGATGAGGCCCCCGACTTTGTATGCAGAGAGTGAACGGCATGGCAGGATTAGTGCTGGCACATTTGATTCCAGCTGATCGGCTCAGCATGAAACAAAAAGGTACCAAAGAAGAGGTGAGGTTGCTTATTGCATTTGACCTCAAATGCATCTCCCCTACTACAGTAAGATCTGAGCCTAGAAGCTGATGCATGAGTTCTGGGAGGGGATTCCAACAGCTTGGGTGTGGAGCTGCTCTATGCTGATCCAGAAATCCTCTGTGGGAAGATCAAGTCCCTTATCACAATGGCAGGAGAGCAGTGGTTCCCAAACTTTTTGGCTTTTTGATTTTTGAAAAACCCTCAGGCCCTTCCCCCAAATAGCAGCAAAACTTGTTGAACAAAAAAAAAAAAGGAAAAAAGGAACTGAACAGGGCAGCAAAACTTGATGGGGGGGAGGCTGGGTCACTTCGCACCCTCCCTGGAATTTCTTTATGCCCCCTCAGGGGGCACGCCCCCCAGTTTGGGAACCCATGCACGAGAGTTACTGATGATGCTCTATAATTTCAATATCCCCTCAGAGGAGGGTTTTTCTGGCTCATTCCAGAATATCATGCCAAGAAAACTGCCCTACATAATTGCAAGCTCCATTCATAAGGACACCCTGGATCTTGCAGCTGGGGGGAAGAGGCTACGACAGCGGAGGGCAGCCTGCAGCTCATAGGCCACATGCGACTCATTTTGGGGTCCTATGTGCAGCCTTCAAGACATTTTTTTTTACTGTTGCCCACACGCAGGGTTGTCAGATTCTGCTGGTTTCCAACTGTGTAGGTTTTTCCCCACCAGTGTTACTAAAGTGACACACACATAAAGCAAGGGCATGTGAAGCGAGGTGCAGGCTGATTGCACACTACATAGACTGTGAGAGCCTTTGCATCCAACCAAAGTGCTGCTGTGGTTCAGTCGGCGCAGTCCGCAAATCTAGATACACAAGCATGGTTCAGAAAACTACCCTATCCCGGGAGACCGTCTTGGTTGCAACAAACTTCCAAGCCCGCTGAGATGAGGGAAGGCCACTCATGCAGCACACATGCCTAGGTTGCCTGTTGCTGGGTTAGAATTTCCTCTGTCACGGGACAACCGCAGGCTCCTTCAATTTGAGATCAAGACGTGCCATCCCACTGGGATGATGATGGTTTGCCCTAGAGCAGCGGTTCTAAACCCATGGGCTGTCTGTGGACCAATCAGCAGTGTGGATGCGGCCCACATAACACACAGAGAGTTGCATATACAGTCCACAATGGTAAACAGATTGACACGCACTACCCTAGAGGCTGATGGAACTAGTGAGTTTCCAGGTTTTGAGGCAGAAGGCTGCTCTTCCAACAGACCACTCTGTTTGTAGCTGAGTGAGACTTTATAACAATCTTTTTCCTCCACACTGACAGTGACCCCTAAAGGCCCCCTCTCTCTCTGTTATCTTTGGCTTCCCAAATTACTTTGGTGAACTGTCACAGGCCAAGCAAAAAGGGAGAGTGCCAAAGCATTGGAAGCAGAAGTCTAAAACTGAGCCTGAGTGACTGTTGCATGCACAGCTCTTAAGATCATATACCATGGCTGTGCTAAGAAATGTTTCCTCGCTTCCACCATAGCATCTGCAATGTCTCGCACAGCAAATCTGTTCCAAGTGACACTGACAGCTTGGTGAATCCTCATTGCCTCCACTCGGATGCCAACTTGAGTTTCTCTTGAAAAGTTTCCACGTTACTTTCCAAACGTGAGCAATTTTGTTTGCACTGGGCTATCCTGTCTTAAGAGGGCCCATACCCCTGCCTCTTCAGCGGTGGTGCGACCAGTATTGCTTGCTGATTGTGGAGACTTTGGCTACGGCTACATTGTAGCTTTCTTCCGGAAAAGCTTATGCAAATGAAGTGAGTCGTGGAAAATCACCACACTTCATTTGCATAATTAATTAGCAGCCGCTTTTGTGCAAGGAACGACTCTTGTGCAAGAGAGGGTTTTTGCGCAAAAAGGAGCTGTCTACACAGCTCCTTTCTGTGAAAAAGCCTCTTGCACAAAAGCAGCTGCTAATTAATCATGCAAATGAAACACGGCGATATTCCACGCTGCGCTTCATTTGCATAAGCTTTTCCGGAAGAAGGCTACAGTGTAGCCGTAGCCTTTAGGTCAGCTTCGGGTTACAACCCAAAATCTGGACGCTTGAAACAGCTGGCAGGTGAACATCAGTGGAGAAGCTGCATCCACTTGGATCAAGATCGCCCATGTTTCAGCGCCACGCTCAAGAAATGAAGTTTAACTGGTTAAACCTTCACATCCCTAGTGCGTATGAGACACTCCTCAAAGAGGGTAAGGGAGGTGACATGGGCTGCACTGTATTCAATACACTGAAGAGACACAGCCCTACCTCTCTATCAGGTGTGACCAAGAGACAGCAGCTAAACACATTCTCTGTGCTTAGATGAACTTGGGACTGGAGAGAGTATTAGCTGGTGCAATCCAACCCAGACAAGACTGAGATAATGTTGGTGGGCTGCAGGAAGCAGCTGGGATTGTTTAGGGGTCTTATTTTAGCACCCAATATCCACAAAGTGCAAGACAGGGGCTCCACTTGAGGCTGTTATATCCTGAGCTGCTCTGGACCACCCAAAGTAGCAGATGGGGCCAAGTGGGCAAGTCAGTGCGACATTTTCCCTGCGAATGGAGTTTGCTGCAATTTTCCATGCCACGAAGATAAGACTGCTGGAATGTGCTCTCTGTGGGGTTGCATGCTCAGACCATTCAGACACTGCAGCTCTGCAGAATCCTGCAGCCCACTGATTAAGCGGAGTTGCACAGTGGGAACACATTTAATCAGCACCCTATGATCAGAACTGACCTCCAATAAGCTTCCAGGTGGAATTCAAAGTGTTGGCTTTGCCTACAAAGCCCTGATTGGTTTGGGACCTGGTTACCTGAGAGATGCCTTGTTCTCCATGACAGAGTGTTGGAAGTGAGACCAACAAAGATGTTTTTTACCTGCTGTGCCTTTGACATAAAGAAAAGAAGCTGTTTCAGGGCATTCTCTGTGAAGGGGCCTCAGTTTTAGAATTCAGTCCCAACCTTGATCCACCAGAGCCCAGATCTGTTAACCTTCTGAGTACAATGAAAATCCCATCTTTTTCATTATTTCTAAAGCAGCTTAGAAAGACACAGACTGATGTAGTTATAAAACAAGTAGTCCTGTAGCACCTTAGGGTGTGTCTACACTGCATTCCTCTTTCGAGAGAGGAATGCAAATGCAGCCGAGCGAAATTGCAAATGAAGTACGGATTTTAATTTTCCATGCTTCATTTGCATAATGGCATCTGGGCACTTTTCCAAAATGCCCTATTTCGAAAAAAAAAAACCTTCTTTCAAAATAACCCTTAAACCTCATTTTTTAAGGCGTAAGGGTTATTTCGAAAAAAGGGTGTTTTTTTTAAATAACCCCATCTACACAGCGGGTTTTTTTTTTTTCAAAATAGGGCATTTTGAAACAGGCGTAAGGGTTATTTCGAAAAAAGGGTGGTTTTTTTAAATAACCCCATCTACACAGTGGGGTTTTTTTTTCGAAACAGCGCCCGGATGCCATTATACAAATGAAGCACAGGAAATTCAAATATGCTCTTCGTTTGCAATTTCACTTGGCTGCATTTGCATTCCTGTATCGAAAGAGGAATGCAATGTAGACCTTAGGCTACGTCTACACTGAAGGCTTCTTGCGCAAGAACTGGTTTGTACAAGAATTCTTGTGCAAAAAATCTTTCACAAGAGCGCGTCCACACTGCCATGTGCTTTTGCGCAAGAGCGTCCATGACAGTGTGGACACTCTCTTGCACAAGAAAGCTCTGATGGCCATTTTAGCCATAGGGGCTTCTTACGCAAGAAAATCATGTCGCCTTTCTACACTGCCCTCTTGTGGAAGAGCTCTTGCGCAAGAAGGCTTATTCCGTGTGGGGAAAGGAATAACTCTTCCGGAAGAAGCCCTGTTTTCCGATGCTTTACTGTAAATTTACTTGCACAAGAACGCACGTGCAGTGTAGACACCTGGCAAGTTTTCATAGGCAAAACCCACTTCCTCGAGATCTCAAGATCATCTCACCTGAAAAAGTGGGATTTGCACATGAAAGCTCATGATACTATATATATATGTGCAGGACTTGACAAACGGCAGTGAAATCTGCTCCCAAGCCCCGCACTGCGTATGCGCAAGACCTGCATTGCACATATGCGCACCACCGGTGAACGGGGCGACTGGCTGATATCTACTCACCACAACACAGGCAAGTAGATTCAGTGATTTGTCGAGCCCTGTATATATGTTAGTCTCTAAGGCCATGTCTATACCATGCGGAAGATCAACGGTGGCAACGTCGATCTTCTGCGATCTTCCGAGGTTCGCATTAGCGGGTCTAGTGAAGACTAAGGATGTTAAGAAGCGGGTAAATGACTAATTGTGTACTTGATACTAAGCGAGTCCACGATTAGTCGATAAGCGGCTCTGCTGCGGCTCTGCAGTTTAAATATAGTAGGAGCCAGGGGCACAGGTAGCCCAGCTCCTACTACATTTAAACTGCAGAACTGCAGCAGGGGTAGGTCTTAGATCCAGCGCGAGCCAAAGCTTCTGAGACCCAGACCTAACCTGCTGCGGCTCTGCCTTTTAAATGTAGTAAGAGCTGCCCAGAGGCGCAGCGAGGTAGGTCTGGGACCTGGCACAAGCTGGGACTCAGCAGCCCTGGCTCACATCAGGTCCCTGACTGCTGCGCCTCTGCCTTCCCCATCCCTTCCGCACTGCAGAGAGGGTGCTGAGAGGAACTGGCTTTTAAGCCGGCTCCTCCCAGCACTAGCTCCTGCTTCCCCCCTTCTTGCTGCCTCTGCTATAAAGGCAGCCGGGGGGCGGGGGGGAACCAATAGTCAACTAATCAACAGCTCTTTTACATCCCTACTGAGGACACGTTAATTCCAACTGAGAGGGTGCTTCTATCAACACCAGCAGTCCTGTTCCTAGAAGGCATAAGGGAAGTCAACAGGAGCACTTGCTCCTGTCGACCTCCTGCTGTGTGGATGGCACCAAAAAGCGATTTAAGGTACTTTGATTCCAGCTAAGTAATTAACATAGCTGGAGTTTTGTATCTTAATTTGAACTGCTCGAACCAATAGTCAACTAATCAACAACTCTTTTACATCCCTACTGAAGACACGTTAATTCCAACTGAGAGAGTGCTCCTATCAACACCAGCAGTCCTGTTCCTAGAAGGCATAAGGGAAGTCAACAGGAGCACTTGCTCCTGTCGACCTCCTGCT